TATAGTGAAGAACTAAATCGTTGGTCGGAGACTAGCATGACATCGGCTTGCTGCTAAGGCTTTTATAATCTGACCGCGTCAAAGCTAGCAGTTGTTTACTATATATAATTTTGGCCGTAACCCTTAGCCACAGCGTTCGCCCGGGCGGTTCCGCTCTTCGCAATGGCATTGCGTCCTCTAACAGTCCGGCTGCCCGCCTTTTTTGTGCTGCAGTTCTTGAACGATCCCGGCGACCTTACCTATGTTAGGTCCCACTGTTCGAAGCTAGCGACTTCGTAAGGTGCAGGCTGCTCTCCATACAACAGACGTCTCGTCTCCCTTGTCAGTATCGCTTTTCCCCTTTTGCGCGCTTCTTCGCGGTTAAACTTTGTCTTCCGTTTCTTACTTTAACGCCAGAGACCATGTGGGTCACGACCTGACACCGCTATCAGTACTAGCGATTTAACTGATAACTCGTGTATTCCCGGCGCCATCCGGTCTTCAGGTATTATAGCTTAGCTTAGACTCTTAGCTTAGATGCTTGGCTGTTGACTCAAAAAGAAGTTATTATAACTTCCTTCGATCAACTGAAGCGCTGTTGGCTCTAAATCAATAAAACGCTCAGATTTTATCGGCCAAAAGCAGACCCGTACCCGGGCTTGGAATGGGCACGTTCATCTGCCAGTCAGCCACGCACAGGCCAGGTTTCAGATCGTTGAAACATGCTTTTGCAAGAGCTTATTATTATTACAAGAAGGTACCCACGGTTTCTTTCTTTTTGAACGAAAATGATGTTCTAAAGATCGTGCACCATGTTCGGCATATGAGATAAGATCAGTTTTCACAAGTGGTCTTCATGCTGCAGAATTCTTCACCCAAAGATATGGGTCAATGTCGAATGCAAAAATGATACCAACGGTTTTGCTATGGACGAGAGGACCCTGAGAACAATTTCTACGACCTGTTGCACTCAGAACTGACGGAAACGTGGAAAAACAACTCATGTTAGAAGACCGCTGAATCACCTTCACGGGGCCCGCAAAAGAGTTCAAGAAGGGTTTTGAAAACTCGCACAGAACCTGACACTGAGTCGTGTTGAACAACTTTGAAAGATTATGTGAAGGCAGAAAGACTCACACTAAGGATTGTGTCGAAGGATCTAAATTTTTATGAAATTCAGACTTATCAACATAAGTCTGGAAAAATCCTTAAAGCACCCATAGAGCAGCTCGATTCGTTCGTACACGTGACGACACGTAGGTGACCAGGCACATGCGTATTGAGTCATGCGGGTATTTCTTCGAACAAATTAGGACGAATGAAGCTTATCAATTGATATAAAGTCAAATTCTTAGTACTTTTTTAAGCAATACACTATATATATATATATAGTTCTACTTCGCGTATGCGTTTCCTTTATCCTACTATTCCTTTAATAAAATAAATACCTCAGACCAAGACTGGAAATCGTCAGTTAGTGAGGCTTTTAAACGATAAAAGCTTGGTACATTTAAGTTATTTAGTTCAATGGCAAATACTGCAATTTTGAAATTCATCCCGTAGCTTTAGATAATAAAATTCTAATGAAGATGGTCATTAGAAGTGGATGCTATGTAAGGCGTCCGTATAAAAATAACTTTCTTAAAAAGCACATTTTAGGAACAAATTATGCGACGGTTTGATTTTTTTCTTACCTACTATCCCATGTAGCCATATCCCATGTAGAATATACGATTTGTTCATGTTTACTCCAAAATATATAATAAAGTCAAATTTACACTTAAAATTGTCTGATCCGTTGCTTAAGGCAGTTCCGTGTGCGAAATTCAAATAAGAGGTATGCATTTTGTAAAGAAAGAAAGAAGTGAAATACTTTACAGAGTAAAATGTGATTGATTTTGTGACTGGAAAAGTCATTCCTATACGGCGAAGCTGCTTTCTTAACGTATTAAAATTAATGCGTTTCGTGAACATTCAAATTGTCATATTTTTTTAAAGGCCGAATATTTGGAATTATTAAAATTTTGTCATACGATCTTAAATATTTTTTGTTATTGTTGTTAACTCTTTCTTCTCTTTTCCTTCTTTGATCGGCATTTCTTTAAACCATCGTCTTATGTGTGCCATAGCTAGTCTGAGAACCATATTATTTTGCAATCATATAGGCGGAGACAAATTACGAATATATTACGGCTAGATAGTGTAATAATCTTCACGCTTGTGACTGTACAAAAAGCTAAAATAAATCACTTAATAATTTTAGCTCGATTAAAAGTCGAGATTTCATGGTTGTCAGGCGGGCGCTCTACCCATTTTGGAAGCGTCAAGGTTGGAAAAGTATATGATATTAAAAGTAATTTTTTACCACTGCTACTTTTAGTCGTTATGCATCGAACTTGTAAAAATTGTGTGTAATAAATTACACCTACTCTCTTCGTTCTGGAGACTGTATGCGAGGCCTTCATCCTCCAGGATCTGCCAGTTTTGACAAGCTGAAAAGGAAAAAAACTTTGTATTTATTAAAGACACCTGCAAAGTAACAGCGAACACTAGCATAGGGAACAAGAGTTTTTATGGTTGGATGGATGGTTTATTTGGAATTGCCTGGTTTAGGGTGTTCTACATATATATATATATATATATGTGCGAATAATCTAATTAATATGAACTTTTTGTCGTCGTTTAAGATTATACCTAGGTAATGTTTTTATGAGTTAAAAGTATCTGAATAGCACGTTAAATAAACAAGATATATATATATATATATATATATATTATACAGTGAACAACAACAACTAGCATGCATAGCTTTACCTATTAGCACAACGAAGATATTTGCGTCAAGCACTGTAGTACCTGTGGGATATATATATATATATATATATATATATATATATATATATTTGTGCCCACATTAAAAACTGAATTCACGGAAGATGTTAATAAACATAACGTTGTCGAAAATTGTATGGAAATTACCGGCTTGGCTATCCGAACTATATTTGACTTCTATGAATTATGTTAGACTGTCATATGAAATGAGTATGATTAGTGACTCAGACATGCATATAATACATGATATTTAGAAAGTAAGGATCTTGAAAATTTCCTAGAACATAATTTAATCTTCAAGAATAATATTTGAGATGAGCAGCTAGGTAAAAAAAAACTATTTGATGCGATAGCCCTCACCGGCTCTATTGACGATGTCAATTACATGATCAAGTAACAAGAAGATATTCTGAGATAGCATGAACTATACCGCCTAGCTATAAATGTTGTTAAAACGACTAGGATCACTACTGGAAGCTCCTGTAAATGCTTTAGTAAAATATAGCATGTTATGAACTTACAACTATTGAAAACACGTTATACATTACTATCTTTTTAAGGTAAACTGATATACATTGTCCTTTGATCAGGTTATGAATGAAATTAGGTTAATTTCATGTATCATATGCATTTTACAATTTTGCGACAAAAAATGATTGACGATCTATGCAATTGTTATTAGGCGGACTTATCATCGCACTCTTACGGTGTTTGTTAAGAAATTACAGTAAATGCGACTTTTTGCTCAATGGAACGCAACAACCAAGGGAGCATGTGAATAGGTCTTTGCAGATCTCGGTGGTTGCTAACCCCGAAGGTTGGCCTAACGGGTATTCTTTCAAACAAAGGTTTTGGCCCCATGTATGCACTATTAGGCGAAATAAATAGGCCCGAGTGTCCCGGACAGTACGCAAATGCACTCGATTATGCCGATGTATAAACATACATCGAAAACATGCGGCAAGCGGATATCGATCTAGCACTATTCGTATTCTAAAGAACTGGTTAATTCTATATAGAATTTATAATGCTCTTTCGTTCAGTTATCTATGTTAAACTATGAATGTTTACTATAACTTTTAAGAAAATGATACTGATTGCCTTTTTTTCAAATGTAGCATAAAAACTTTTGGCTCTTGACATAGCTAACCGCAATATCTGTTATCTGGTTTGGCTCGTCTTTTCAAGCTATCTTCGTTTATACTTAGCCTTCGGTTGTTTGCTCAGTTCTATGATATAAGGACTATTCGACACATTTTAAGAGAAATAACAAAACTTAGTTACTTGCGGCTATTATTTTTTAAACAATAACCTGACAGGCCCAGCTGCCTATTCACATATAACAAGAATTAAATCACCAAATCATAGAAAATTATAAAAGTGAAATTATATAATAAATAATTATAAAAAATAAAAGTTACGTGTTTTTACGGGATAGCCTGGAAGTAAAATATTAAACCTAGTTATTGTCAGTATGCATTGTTTATGAAAAGTTTAGACGAGTATAATGATGTAAGTATAGGTGCTGCTTTAACTACATAATGAAGAGCATTGAAACGGTTTCTAGAATGAAAATTTTTTTTGCCAAAATCTCTGGTAAAAAAGACTGTTCTAAGAAATATACATTGTTTGGAAAAGAACTCTGAGAAAGTAGTGAAAAGTAAAAACCTAAACTCTTGCTTATTATTGTTCGGACCGTTTCGACGTAATGGACTTGGATGGCGTGTAGTCTTCGGAGAAGGGCTGTGCTGTTTCAACCTTCAGCACCGTGGTTGGAACCTGTCGCAGTGCAGAATCCTTAGAAGTATGGGGCGATCAGGGGACAAAATGGCATGTCTTTGAATTCTAAAGTAAATCTTTTTACTCAGTTTCATTGCTTGTTAGTTTATGGTCGGTTACATTTTTGGATGCTACCAGACTCAAAAGCTCTTTTCCTATCTGTGGCTCACCGGTAGGATTTTTAGAGGCGGAAATTGGCATCGAAAACCTATTGTAAGCTAGCTGTAACACTATAGCGTTTGAGAAGTCTATTGATCCGGTTCTCCCGTCATGTGTTCGCGTTAAATGGAGTATTGGGCATGCAGTCTACCTTCTATTTATATGTGTACGATCTTTCCGGCAATATTGCCGGCTTTTTTAAAAGGAATGGGCTATTTCCAACCTTGAAAATAGTATTGATCATGCGATGGTGCTGATTATAATTTCGATTGATACTTATGATTTTTACTTTCGCTTTACCTAAACTGAACAACCATTCGATACTACCAAATCAAGCGCTATCTTATCGTAAGTAGCAACTATGCATGCGCTTTGCCGTAACCGACAGCGGGTCGCGCACTTTTATGGGTTTTCGGAGGTCGCTAAATTCAGCATATTCCAGTTTTCCCCAGCCTTTGCATACGTTTGTCTGAACGAATCTACAGATTGTTTCACCCAACCATTTTCAGCGGACAACTATGAAAATGAGGAGTTGAAATATTTGCAGCATTGAATAGTAGTGAATTGTATGTTATAATCTATAACTAACTACCCTGGATTCCTATGTCATTCCTTAGTACGTTGTTTCTCTAAGAATATAGTTTTTCCCACTTTACTAATAATTACTTTCAATGTAAAAATATCAGCGCATTTTTACGTTAATTAAAATACAGTAGCAAATACTGTGTACTACGCCAACCAGCTCAGCGTGTATTCCTGCCATGGGTTATCCGTTCTAGCTATGGCTGTAAAAACGTAACTAACTTCTTCCCTTAAGAAAGATCGATATTGTTAAATGAAAACCACAAATAGGGATCCCTATTATCGAAGTTTTGCTCACTCTAACGCAAGTCACGACGCTCTCCCCCTGTTCTCTCTAATGCATTTTTTTCTCAGTTTTTTCTATATATTTTTTCTAGAAATATAATTTCTTCGATATACAAGTTAGGCTGCAGAAACAAGATATTTTGCCTTCAAATATATTTCATCAAACACAAAAACTGAACTAGAAAGATTTATTTTGTACAGATTAGCCAACCTTAAGATTCAATCATTCCAACTGACACTCAAATAGGCATTTGAGTATCAGTTGGAATAATACGAAGTGTAAATATTACATTATCCAGAGTAATACAGATGAAATTAATTTCCATGGTGAATCTGAGTTTATAAGATGGTTGAATTTTCCGCGTTTTGCTAGTGGAAAAGCCACTGTTTTAATCACCAATATACTTGAACAATTGGGAACACAGAGGCCACCAAAAATTTTCACCTAGGATAAGTTCTCTATTTTCTTTGCTATTTTATATTAGAGTATATTTAGAATATTTTCGCATTGCACCACAAACAAGTATTAAAATATTATGGCTTCAAAAAAATAAATATATGAAGTTGCTTTCTGCTTTTTTTAATAAGGCAATTCTATTGTTTTCCTTGTCCCATTAGAGAGCATGACTACGAAAAACCTCAAAAAAATAGAGCTTTAGTGGCTAGAGTAGTCGACATCTGGCATACTCCAATGTAAATAATAATTATACAATGATTTTAAGCATGATATTTGACTTACTGCGTTGTGCGTGACGCATACGTTATACGTGACCACTTACTAACTCAAACCGCCTGCGTTTGGATATAGAGCAAATGTATCTATTACGTACTTGAGCTCAGCGTTACGCTAAAAGAAAGTATCATGGTCTATTAACAAAACACTAGAGGTCGCTAAACACTGTTTAGTCTCACTCATCTCATTGGATAAATACTATCTTTTCAACTTAGATCGCCTTTAGGTGCTTCGCGCAGAAAAACCTATATATACATATTTAAAAATTATTTCTTTTTTCCCACCTCGGTTTGACAAAGACATCTAAATGAACATCCTAAGAGGAAAAGTGTTTAAAAAAAACCTCTTACGAATATTTCTTCTCTCATCTAAAGCGTGAAATTGCACAAGCATGAGCCCAAGTTTGCTTGGGCAGTCTTCGGCGACGCTTAATCAAAGCTAGATTTAAGAGTTAAAGAGGCTAATAAAGGAATAACTAGAGATTCTCTTTTGCGAAGGACGTTAGTGTGGATTGAAAAGGTATGTTATAAATGATATTTTTCGTAACACGTAAGTAGCTTTAAAAACGGTTATTTATGTCATTGTTTGTGTCTGTCTTCAATAAGTTTTATTTTGGTACTTTTGATTAATACGATTTTGTCGATTTACTTCGTTTATTAAAAAAAAGACTTGTCTATTCCATTGTCCATCCAAAAAATTCACTGGAACTATATGCCCTTTAAAATAACGACAATGGCAAGTGGATTTGTTGTTTATCTTTGTGAAAGCTATCGAGTGTCCATACCACAGCCCACCGTGCTTCAACTCAGTTTTATTTGTAGATATATAAGGGAGCAATATCAGCACGTGCTTCGAAGTTGAAAAATATTCTTTAGATATAATATATACGTCCGTATCCGGCATCCTGTTTAGGGTTCTGTAGGGTTGAGAAAAATATTGTTTTTTTTGGAAGGAAAAACGGTCTTTTTCGCTTAGTAAAAACGCAGGGTTTCAATGGATCCACTATAACTGCCCTTACTTTTTTCATCTTTCAACTAATTTATTCGATCTCGTCAAAGATCGAGTTTGATGTTGAAGAATTTATGAGAGATTTTGATCTCTCCGCTGTCAAATTTACTGTTATGAACCTTAGTCGCTAGTGGCTGAAATGGATGTTGACTTAAGAGCACCATCATGTAAAGCTCATCACATTAAAGAAAAAAAGAACTAATCGTTAGCGCGCTGTTTGGAGAATACAATGGGGACAAGAGAACTTCGCACTCAAATCCTGGTAGGACGACTCTGAGGACCTTTGCTAAATGTGGTCATTCCCTGCTGTAGAGAAGAATGATTTAGCCTTCTTTACCGCATCTTTTCTGTCGTATAACTTCATTTATTTTATGCAACTGGGTTATATACATATAATTGTTCGTCGTTTTGTTTTTCAAACATTCTTCGGTACATAAGACTTTTCCAGTCCCACAAAAGGCAAATCATGGCTTCCCGGCATATTTCTGGATGCATACCTTGAAAATACTTTTAATCTTTCATCTTTTAGGTTGACGTGGAGATATCGCTTCTTGTTATCTTATCAACTGTAAAGGTGTGTGAAGACACCCTATGATCGCAATTCACTTTCTCAGCTAATTCACGAGCTTTTGCCGCTGTTTCCAAACGATGTTTTTCTATATCGGACGGTCGACTTAGATAGAATGTAACTCCCAATTCCAAGATATCATAAATAAATATAACAAACCATCTTTGAGTAGTATAGGCACAGATTCTATGATATAAATCAACCGGACCTTTGTTAAATACGGTAGGTGCCAAAAGTGCACATAATTAAATAATAACAGGCTTAAGGAGAAGAGGGAACACGGATATTTATAGAAGTGAATAAGGAATATTCGAAAAACACTACCATTATTTTTCGAATAATCTAATATGTCTCAATAAATATTAACGACTCGTTTCTAGCATTGTTTGCTTATAATTAGGTGCTATGCGAAAGGCACTCTTGCCTTTAGAAAGCCAACACGATTCCAGTCAAAGGATATATGGAAGGTGGCCCCTAGAGGAACTGAAAATCTGGCACCAAACTAAATTATAATTAGACGCAGGTCATAAAGCATCTTCATTCGAAGAATCCCGTTGATAAAAATCTTCCTCAAAAAGTGCTTGAACCCTATGTCTTAATCAAAAGGCCGAGCAACGAGTGGTGCGTTCTTGAAGCACAAGATATCGTCTTTAATTTTGCTAACCGTTTTCAGCTAAGCTTCTTAGTTATATCGTTGCTAAAGCAGGCATAAATATATAATTTTTTTTTATCCATTCACCTATGTTCTTGATATAAAAAAGTCTTCGGAATCACTTCTTTAATGTATGGCATCAAGAATTTGCACCCACCAAAAGTATAACAGAGGTGGGAAATGTTCAACTTACTTGAATTGCTACTAGCATAAGTATTTATTTCCTTTGATTCCATATTTTCCTGACTATTCATTTTTATATTGCTAGCATTGAACTACCTGGCAGTTTGCCTGCTACTTCTGATTAACACGACGTCGCACCACGCCGCCTATCGAGAAAAAGATTTTGGATTGCTTTAGTAGCTTTGGTCACAATCAATAAAATTAAAGGGGATGGGATGCGCACCTTTTCGCCACATAGAACAACCATGCAACAAATTTTACAGCTACACATGTTATGTTACCACAACAGACGTGCAACGGTGAAAGACACTTCCAAAAGATATATTTTCAGAAAGAGTGAGCGAGTATGACTAAGGAGAAATAATAAAAATGAACATACATAAATTTGCTTAATCACCTAAAAAAGAAATGCGATGCGAATGAATGATGTGCTACTAATGGTCAGACTTTAACAGCGATACAACTTGAACTCATTATATTTATTGCTAATCGCTTGAGAAATTATAAGATAGTATCGCAAGAAATAAATGTTCGCCTTATTAATCCCGATTCTTCATGTACGCAATTTATAAGAAAGAAGGAAGGGCCCAATTAAGATGCCTATGTTAAAGGAGTCCTTTTGCAAATAACAGATGAACGCGTAATAAACGAGAAAATGCTATTTATCATATTTGTTTCACAATGTTGATGCAAATTACAAAATAAAAATACGCGAAAAACCAAAGTATGGTTTCAGTTATTCATTCGCAGTAGATATGTGCATCTAGCGACCACAAAAAATGTGTTAACAGTTGGGCAATGAGAATATCACCATATTGGTTATTTACAATCAAATGATTAAAAAAATCCGTGATTGATTAATAGTTACAACGCGTTGCCACAAAAATAAAACCTTTGCTGTCGCCAGTTATATTTTTAATTAAGGCTTCAGAAACTGCTGCATTATCGTAAGCTGAAGCACCATTAAGAACAAATTTAAAGCTCGTTAAATTGAAGAGAGATGAAAGTTCAAATATACCATTTTTTCATAAAATTAATATAATAAATGAGGAACATTACTTACACTTTGGTTAATTTTAGAGGCTTACTAGAACAAAAACTTTCCTATAGCCAGTTACCGCGATTGGAAAGTTAGGCTATTTTTGATTACATATTATAGATAGCGCCTGAAACTGACAATGATCTTTATGATTCTGAGGGCTCAGGTGCGCTAAAGTATATATGACAAATGACGATTTAGAGAGATTTAAAGATATATAGTCCTAGAACATATTTAGTTTATATATCTCTAGAATAATGAATATAGAAGACAGGAAAGCGGAAAAGTGCTCTAGCGTATGCAAAGTCTTCAAAAGGCGGACTTGTTATTATGATGATTTGCTTCTGTATGCTTTAATTAACACAGCTTATATTGTGGTATGTAGTAATTTTGCTTAATTTCAATTCGACATTAACACAAAGGGCCTGATTTCTAGAGAGTACTACATATGGTAAACTCATTACCTTCTCAAAAAACTATTATTTATAGGTGCTATCTAAACGCACAAAAAAAAGCCTTAGGGTAATACTCTTCTCAATCTTTTTTCTCTCCTTAAGCGATTATTTAGAGTAAAGCTCTCCCAAAATATTACCACAGGCATTGCACGAAAAAACAAGCTATTAATAACACAGAATGCACCAACCCGCGGCATGCATTTAATTATACAAAACATGAGGTCTCGCTAGCCAGGAGTTTTATTCAAATTTTACACAAAGAAGTTCACCCTTACAGACGCAAAAGATCAGAATAGTTTTTTTTTAAATGAACTTCAGGAATACTAGTCCAGCTCCTTAAATACGTCTGTTACACCTGACATGCATATATGCAAGGCGTATTTAGCTATGGATAAAGGAAAGATCTCATCGTTATATAAACCAATTCGCTTAAAAATAGTTTTTAGTAGTAACCATCTATGAAATCAGCCATTAATTATTAGCGGTTATCACTAAGCTTAAGACAATATTACATAAAAAATGCTACGTTTTTACTTAGATATTTATGCATTAAATGAGCAAACTTACCCTGTCGGACTTTGCTTCGTCGGTAGTTATGGTCATTTCCATCTTCCATATTTTCCAACAGAATTGTTACAAAACGTCTAGAGTTGTATTAAAAATACTTATTTACGCTTCATATATTTGGAGTCACTCTACTTGATGCACTACAGCTGTTCGCCTTAAGTTATAATATCTTAAAGCACCACTTCTTTATATGTCTTATTACAATGGAAACTCAAGACAAGTCCATCGGGGTGGTCGCCTTATCCGATTATTATGGATGAAACAAAAAACACAAGGATAGTTGCAAAAAGACCTCTTCGTCTAATTACCACTTTTTTCACCAAAATAGCTGTAGCTTCTGTTTGCTGTCTTCTGCTCAAAGACCCTCTCTCCCCTTGTTATGATCCAATTTTCTTCGGTTATTCACGGCTGCGAAATACAGATAGCGTTTGGCATTAATACTTAAAAGTTGCACTGACTTCCGCTGTCTACAAGGATCGACACAAAGCCATAATTTATGTCTCAATATATATATTGGGCAAGGCAATTGCTGCGACAGTTGATATGCAAACGATCACAATATTTTTGAAATTTAACAGTGTACTATAATATTGTGCTCGAGCACATTACAGAATATCCTGGTGTAAATGCATAAAATTGTTTAATTGGTCGCAGTAATCATTGTTATAGTTCTTGCATTTTAGTATTTGGCATACTAGCATAGTATTTGGTCTCCTAATACATTTGTTACAATGTTATAAACAGGCTATGGAATATTTACATATATACCGCTGCTGTAGATGCCGCATGCATTACAATTTATTCCAGAGAAATTTCATGTAATATAAACCACAACAAATCAAATTATCTGTTGCTTTTGTAGCACAAAGTTGCTGGACTGCTCAAAATAGGATTAAAATTTTCTTTTACCTCAAAGTGAGTAAAAATTGAGGCATACAAGCGACTAGTCTTTGTCATAGTTGGAAGGGTTCTTCGGATTACCTGAAAGCAATTCGCTAGCAATGAAAATAATATCATTTTAGGAAAGGTGGTTACAAGGCTACAAGTAATAAGTACTCTTTTTCCCCCAAAGTTAGCATAATCTTTTTTAGATTGGAGTGGTTGGACTCTAGGCCTTGGTTCCTTTGTAGAGTTACCCACTCCAATCTCTGGTTCACGTTAACGTTTAGACGGTACTCTCATTGCCGGTTACAATTTTGTGCGGTCATTTTGGCCGCATGATGCTTGATATCAGGCAAAATCTTGAAACGTAGCATTAATCCGTAATTCCTTGTTCCATTTAGGGGACTTATGAGGTACCCAAACTTCAGATTCTGTGTAAACGGAAAACACTTAGTGGCTAATGACGGTTAGAATTACAGCCCATCTTTTCAGCCAATTTTCAAGTTGTTTGACGACTTTCTTTATTCAAACGATCGGAGCTTCGCAAACTACCATTGAGCAGCCTTATTAGTGACAGGGCCGATACTATACACGGGGCAAATGTCTCGGGTTGTTTCAACAGCTTTGTCACTTTGGAGAAATCCATATTTTAGAAGGCGTCAAAATGCACCGTTTTTCCTGAACTGACATTACACTGTCAATACAATATACCGAGAGAACTGTAAGGGCGCTTTCGAACGGGTAACTAACTAACGAGAAGGAAAGCGCTTTACTTCTGATTTATGTGCTTATGTATTTATGAAAAGAAATACCTGTATTTAGAAACTGGGGGTCAGGATAATATAAATCTGTACTGATCTTTAGTGAAAATTAAGTAATAGCAAACATTTACATATTGTCTGAACCTTAGTCCTTTTTGAAGTCTTAAACTCTACTCCACATATGTTACAGCACCCCAGATTGGAACCCTGGGGTCATTCAAGACATCATTCACGGCATAACTAGATTTATCTAAGTCCATCCTTGTGATCCCACAGAGAATCAGCCCATATATGAAACATCGTTTCTTTCTGTTGGTTGATGTGTTGCATCAGTAAACATGAACCCACGGCATTTGTCTCTTTTATGACATTTATAAAGGATTAAGCATTCGCGATGCTATTAAAAAGGCAGCAGGATTTGTCGTTCCTTTAATATCACTACATTCTTTGTGTTTTAGAGAGCAACCACCATGGATGCATTAGATATAGGTCCTTCTGCTAACATTTTAAAAGCAGTTATGTCTTCGATGAGCCTCCTTCAGCACGCGAGCCGAGTGACTTTTTAAAGACCATGGCTACCAGTGAACAGTAGTTAGTACTGTGACTTCCGCGCTCAATGTATTACTGCAATGAATTATTCTTGCCTCCTGATTTATATTTTGTAATTTCGTGTTCCGTCTTTTTTCAACAATATCAACTGACTAGTAATCCATAACACAGAAATCTCATTTTGCGATTATCACTAGTTCCTTGTGTACTCGGAATCATTACTAATTCCTTTGCATACTAAACCTCTTAACCAAACACTTCAAGCCGCCGTATCGCCTCCAGTGTAATTTGGACAAATTTTATGGCGTTGCACTGATTGCTTTATGTACCACCGAGTTCTCTCTTTTCGGAAAGGTACTTTTGTATAAGACCCCATCTTAACCCTCTACGCTGAACTACTTATAATCGTGAATTCCTTTCTAATTCTCAAAGTTGATTTCGATCTCGTCCTCAGACTTTCTTTCTCAACAAATTTTTCAATTTCGTAATGCTTGTTGGATATCCTATTTGCGCTGCCTGGGAAAAGAGCACCGCGCTACCATGTAACCGATGTCGTTTTGCCCGCCTGAATAAAAAGCACGTAGCCGAGAATATCTTTCTAAATTTAGTGGTTGCAACTTAGAGTTGGTCTTATACATCTGTGTACAACGTGGAGGTACTAGCTGGCGGTGCGCCTAACACGTGCACTGTTTTGTTACAGCAGCATTGCACTGATTAGCCTGGTTTACTTTTGCTACAAGGGGCATTATTTTGCTCTAACAGAAATTCACTGTACACTCATGCCTGGTTTTTTAGTTTAAGCGTATTACAAACAAAAGCCCTTATGAAGAAGTTCATTTGGAATGCAAAGGAGAATGTATCTGCAATCTTTTTTGATACGGCTGCGTATAGTCTTGCTATTTCTAGACTACCGCCTTACTGTGTCGACAAAAGTTTATCGTTATTATTGAGTTTGTCGATGGTCGGCAATACTGCAACCATTCGACCACACTACTAGGCGACATCCACTTAATTTGCGGTTACTTCTGTATATTCTTAGTTGGCAGCGATGCCTTACTACAGTAGCTCACGTAATGGGTGTCCCGCGTGACTCTCTTATCGATGCCTCATTCAGCGTCGGGCCTATACAACTAGGAACATATCTGGAATGTTAACGAGGACGAGACCCGCAACCTCGTTCATTTAGACTGTCTCTTGGGAAGCGCGGTCCGTAACATCGTTCACCTAGAATTGCTCTTGGAAAACGAATTACTGTTGCTAACACCTATTTCACGATTCAGAACGCACCAATTAATTTTCAGTGGCAACAAATGGGGGACCCGAAGAGTACTGGAACATACCAAGTTGTCTAATCCTAATCGAAATTTCTATAATAGAATAATCGAAATCCTCCTCCTCTTACGGAAGGAAGAAACGTGTGCCAGCCTGTAAACTACAGCTAAGGCATTCTGCCATTCGTCCACGAGCCAGATGACAAACTTGGCAGCCCACACCCAAGATCCACTTCGGCCACACTCAGCTCTGGTAAGTACCGCGATCCGTAGTAGCCCAACATTCTCCAACTCTATTTTACATAGGGTGTCGCCTTGGGAACCTACCTACGGCATTCGCAGGCAGCGCCAGCGTGCTTTGTAGCGAGAACGTACTACGTCAGCCGATCGATCTGCAGAACGGGTGCAACTGATTTTCAATATTTACCGCCGAACCTTCTAAACCAGCCCGAAACAGGTTGGTTTTTATGATATATCTCCCTGACCTCCTCGTCCGGATGGGGCTAACCTTCCCCTTCGGGAGAGGCTAACCTCCTCGTCTGGGAGGGGCTGACCTCGTAAGTACCGTCACATATTTTGTGGCCACTTCTTGTGGCCATACGCCAGATGGGCAATTCTCACGACGTCTAAATTCTAGCACTCTTGCTTCTGGAGCTTACTGACCAAACTGTTCAAGGCATTTTAAGTTGCCCTCCGCATTCCCGCCGAGCTTCCATCAAGTCTGCGGCAATTACGAGATCCGGCCACTCGGTATTATACATTCATTCCTAATCGGAACCGGAAATGCATTTATTAAGACGGTACATATTTTTGAGTTATATATATGTATACTTCATAAAGCATGCCGCAGTTGACCTTTGACCTAATCTCAGTTACTCCCTTGGAAATAATTCTTGTCGGAACACGTGTGTTTCACCGTTCTCTTAGTCGTTAAAACGGATCTCGTAACTCAATACTAAAAATAAACCTAAGCTTAGCTTTCGTTTCTCTTGAATTTCGGTCGAACGTCTGAAAACTTCTTTTCCATGTGTTTCTTGAGCTTTGGGAAAAGGAATTGGTCTAAATCAAATGGTACTAAATCTCGTGAATACGGGGATTGAGGCAGCATAGGCATAGAGCTTCTTTGCAAAAAATACAATACAAGCAGCGACGTCTGCGCTAGTCGATCATCGTGGCAATACGTAATATTTTTGAAGCTCTTTGCTAATACCCGTTAATCACAATAGAACTATCAGAGACGAATTAATATAGCCGAACTCTTCGACGGTCAAAAAAGAAGGTGAAGTAAGGCTTGAATTTTTATTATGGTTTTTGTTCCGTTTGAGCTCAAATTTTAAACGATTCTAGACGACTGAACTTTTGTCTCCACATTATGCCCGTACTTCTACGTCTCGTCACTTGCAATGACGCGCTAGAGCAAATTCGACTCTTCTCTGAGAGCCTCAAGGTTCTTGTGTGACATGTCTAACTCTTCTGCGAGTTCCCTAAGAACGACTCGTCAATTTCTTAATTTGACCTGTTTTGCTTTCTCCACGTTTTTGTCCATACACGCCATGACAGGTCGGCTAGAAAAAAGGTTGTCTTTAGGGCTCTCTCGTCCGTCCCGAAGTCGTTGGTATAAATCTGTACAATCGGTGTTGCCTCCAAAAGGCTAGTGCAGCACTGACTTCTTTCTAACACTGTCTTAACTGTCTTTGGTAACGCATTTTTGTTTTTTAAAACACAGAGCCGAAAACCATTTACTTCATAGCACCTGGAAAATATATTTTCACACGTTCCAGTGTTTTAACGTATGGCCTGCGCATTGTAGAAGTAGG